CTTTCCTGCTCCTCTGATGCTGCTTGGCCTGCTGTGTTCATCCAGCTCTACACCTTGTTTTCTCAGAGTAGAGGAGGTAACGGCCTAGTGGTATTATCACCTGGACTGTTAATCCAGAGATCCAGATTACGTTCTGGGGACCTGGGTTCAAATCCCACCATGACAGATGGTGGAATTTGAATCCAATAAAATCTCTGGAATTAAGAATCCAATGATGACCACGAATCCATTGTCGATTGTTGGAAGAACCTATCTGGTTTACTGCTGCCCTTTTGCCATCCTTACCTGGTCTGGCCTACAAATGACTCCAGATCCACAGCAATGTGGTTGACTCTGAACTGCCATCTGGGCAATTAGGGTGGCCAATAAATGCTGCCTAGCCATTTCCCAGGAATGAATAAAGGAGGAAAAAAAAGTGGGCCTTAATTATCAATACATTCCTCCTGTCACAATCGCAACACTGTCCAGTTAGCATATTTACATTTCAAATAGCAATGCTTGAGCAACACAGTTGAGGTAAGTAGTTGAGTTTCCTCACTTCCAGCACTTCTAGATACATGTCACGATTAGTAAGGCCGGCTTGGGCAGGCAACTTTATTTTTCAGGTTCATCAGATTGCTGTTTTAAAACAACATACGTGCTCTTGATCATAATAATTCAACTTTTTCTGTTATCCGGGGTATCTCAGGCAGGTTTGTTATGATAAAAAATAAATTATTTTACTTTTTGCACCATATTAATTGGCTGTTAATCTCACTGCAATTTGTGGGATATTATTGTGTGCTAAATTTAAATATGTTATCAAAATGTGCTGGACTGTAATTTACTACAATATTTCTTGTTGCATTAATATTACTGCAAATATATTTCAGATTTGGACATGATCTAATTTCAAGGTGTTTGCCTAGCTTTAGCAAATAAAACTTCCAACTGATTATAAGTTCAATGGTTCTGTGAAACAGACAATGTAAACCACTGCATCCATCAGTTTTTAACTTCTTTTTATTTTCTCTCTAAATATAGGATAGTGATTATAATGATAATCATTAACAGCTATCAGTAGAATTAATGGGCTGTATTTCCAAAACCCCAAACTGGAGCCTCTTAAAGTTTTACTTCAACCACTGGTAACAGTTGCAGGTTCTTGTAAAATTTTACAAAGCAGAATCCATGAAAGAAATACATTCTGCAAATGTTCAAGAGCACAAGTGGAGAAATCAACTAATTAAGAGTTCAACCTTCTCCCTTTTGTCTGATGCCGAGCTGCAGCGATCCATCTCACAGCCACAGAAATATAATTCTTATTTAATGGAAACCATTTTATCTTTTTACTCTTTTTATTCTTAAACTATTCAAAATGATGCCGGGTTGTGGTGACAGTTGAAGTTTTTCACTGTATTTTACTGTATTATTCGCTGTAAAATGCAAGTGACAATACATCATTCAAATTCAAATTCCATTGTTTTTAGTAAATCTGAGTGTTATCATGTTTTTCTATTCCAGGCTGCGGAAAATCAAACACAGACAACAGTCATAGAGTAGCTACGGATATTGATCAGGGATGGTGTGCCAACAAAGAAATTGGTATTTACCCTGACCCAACAGATGTATCCAAATTCTACCGTTGTGCTAAGATAGCTGTGCATGAACGCTGTGCTGGAAACCAGGTCTTTGATCAAAAATGCAAGTGTTGTACATGGCCTCGACTTCAGACATATCAAGACCCAACATGGTGTTTCAACAAGCGTGATGGTTTCTACCCTGATGAAAACAATGTTTCGAAATTCTATATCTGTGCTGGGCACCAGGTCTTCTGGAGGGAATGTGCCAAAGGACTGGTGTTTCATAAAGGTTGTAAATGCTGCAATTGGCCCATAACCAATAGGCAAGGTTACAGATAAGTTACAGGAGATGAAGGAGTCTTTAAGAATCTCTGTTGATCAATACCCAACCACATAACAAATTATTTTCAAATTTAATTTCTATTTCCACCTCTTGCCACCTTCCTCATTATTAGTACATCAGCCAAATGAGAACCTAGTGCATAAAACATGTCAGTTAGTTACAGCTACAGTATGAATCTCAATACATTGCCTTCATTTTGTTTTTCTTAATATACCAGGGTAACAGATTGACCAGTCATTAATTTCAATCTTGTTTTATTGTACCCTAATTTAACTAAATATTTACCATCAAGCTCACAGGACTTTGGCTTCCATCACAGGCTGAATACTTTGGACTTTTTTTACAATTCAATTTCTGGCTGAGGAATTACGTAAACGTAAACTCAAATTTGACCTAGTGAATGTTGAATTTAAAATTCTTCGCTGTAAGAAATAAAACCAAGACTTACTGCAAACTGTGGTGAGAATTTCTGTTCAGTAGCTTCTTTAAAAAACATTAACTGGTGGATCATCTGTCGCACTTTCAATGATAAACCCACTCCCACAGTTTCTGAAGAAGGGTCCAGACCAGAAACATCAGTTTTCCTGCTCCTCTGATGCTGCTTGGCCTGCTGTGTTCTTCCAGCTCTACACCTTGTTATTCTCACATTTGTCTCTTGTGTTATCTCCTTCTTTCCTTCTCATTCTGATTGTATTTTTTTTCCTCTCTCTCTCCCTCTCTTTCCGTTTCTGCTATTCTTTCCTGTCTTTTTCTCCTTCCCCTTGTATCATACCGAATTATGTACAATGCAGCAGGTTATAATGACGGTTTGCAGAACATGTACAATGGGAGAAATACAGCCAAGGGTACAGGCCACAATTTTGAAATCATGAGTCTGTGGAGAGATCCAAACTGCACTGACACTGATGAACCCTGAACAACAGTCAGGAAGGAAAAAGGTGGTGAGCAGAAAGTCTCAAGTGCTTGGGAGTGTTCATGATGGTGACTTGGTCAATTAACATAATTTCAGTTGTGGGTAAATTGTTGGAGTCAATTTATGAAATTTTGCAGATTAAAAAGACAACAGGTTAAAGCTTTGAACCTATCAAGTAATTTGCAAGTATATCAATGTAAAAGGGAGCAACAATTTTAAACAGTACAAGAATAGAGCACTGATTTTTTTTTGCAAGTGGACTGTGATTGGTAGAGGCATTGCCAAAGAGAATGTGCCAGTTAGATGATGACTGACAGTCAGCTGCCAAGCTTTGAAACAGGTGCAGTGTGCCGACATGTCTTTTCTGTCGGCAAAAAAAAATGACCATGTGTAAACGTATGCAACTTCAGTACATGCAAGTCTGCCACATGCTGAACACTACTGACAATCTTAAATTGGTTGTCAATTTAATTCTTAGCACAGTTGGGATTACCTAACAAATGTTGCCCATTTGCAGAATCACAATAAATCAATTTTATTCTCTCAGACTGAATTTGGGAGATAGTATAAGCATTCATTTAGAAAAGTAAAGATTAATTAAGGAAAGTCAGCCTAGAATTTTTAAGGGGAATCATATCTGACTAATAGTTGAAGTTTTTGTAAAGGAAGTAATCAGATGTGAAGAAGACACTGCAATGAATTCAGTTTACCTAAACTGGACAGAAAAGTAAAAGCCTTTGGGATAGAACGGAAAGTGGCAAATTTGATCCATAATTAACTTAATGATATGAAGAAAGGGGTATTCATTGGTAGATACTGTGCAACTGAATAGCTGTAAACAGTGGCCTTGCTTAGCACTCAGTACTTAGTGGCTTGCTTTTTATAGTTTAGATAATAAATACATTGAAAATGTGGAGGATAGGACACAAAGGTTTTAAGGTGATATAAAGCCAGGCTGTATGGTTGACAGTGATGACGAAAGCACTGGACTACAAATTAGGTGGTCCGGTTAGTTGGACAGAAAAGTGCAAAATAGAATTAATCTGGAGAAAGCATTTTGAGAGTATAACAAGACCAGGGAATACACAATAAATAGGACATTCTAAGTAGTGTGCAGGAACAGAGAGACCTCATGCCTACAGAACCATAAAGGGATTGGATTGATAAATTGATGAGAAACATTCCTGGTGGGGCATTCTAAAAGTTTGTTTGCAGTCCTCAGAGAGGTTCTGAGATGAGATCTTGAGGTCAGGAGATCCAGAGCAGCAATGACTACCTTGGAGTTTGGACTGATTTCTGTAAGTTGCAAGGCCCCTTTAAATACGGTGTTTTTGTCTGTTGATGGTGTGGCTTATTGCCTACTTTCTGAGGCTGTTGCGAAAACACTCCATGAAAAGATGTGGCATTACACAATACATGTGTAAAAGCCTGTATTTTCACCAGGTCCTCTGACAGTCAACTCCAGTGACTCCACACATTTACCCTCTTGCTCTGCCCTGTCTAAAAGTAAAATGTCATGGTCCACCACTACAGAAAGTGAAGGATCGTGCCCCCCTCCACCCCCAACAGAAATGAAATCACATCTCCCCTTTCAACTTAACTCATTTCCACTCTACAGACATCATACTACCAAAATTTCACTCTGGGCTCATACCAAATCTAAGGCATTAAAATGGGGCCATATCAAGAAACTGTTTGAGTGCGCTGGTATATGACATTCTTCCCTTCATTAGTTGGTGCACAGACTATAAGCACAGAGGTTATGCTTGTATGCTTGAACTATACCCAAAACTAAGCGGCAGAAGGATTCGAGGGGATGTGAGTTAAAACATTTTTTTTTAAACACATGGGGTGGTGGGTGTCTGGAATTCACTGCCTGAGTTGCTGGTGGAGTCGGAGAGTCTTACCTCTTTCAAGAAAGTACCTTAGGTTCTATAAGCTGCAGGGCTATGGGCCGTGCACAGGAAGATGGAATAGAAAGGGAATCTAGGAGTCTTTGGATCAGCATCGATGAGATAGAGCAAATGACTGCCTTCTGTGCTGTATCATGTTTCTATAACTATTTAGCAGCAACTTGGGCATTGTGAACAGTTCTGGTCAAGTGATGTACATTTGTGCTGGAGATGCTGCAGAGGAGATTTACAAAAATATTTTCAGGAATAGAGAATTTTAGCCTTGAGGAAATATTGGAAAGACAGATCAATTTCCTTGCCAAAGAGGAAGCAGGCTGGTGATTTAATTAAGGTGCATAAAATTATGAGAAGTCAAGATAGAGGGTTGTTAATTACAGGGAGTTGAAGAAACTTTATTTCACCAGATGTGGTAGAGATCTGGAACTAACTGCCTGAAAAGGCAATAGAGGCAGAATCGCCCACTGTGCTTAAAACATGCATGGGAGTCTATCTGAAATGCTATGCACTGCAAGAATACATAAGAAAGTGGGGTTAGGCTGGCACTGATATAATGAGCCAAATGGCCTTCTCTGTGTCATAAAGTGCCAATGATTTCTATGTTTGTATGCTTGGCAGAGAAGGGATAGGCAAGACAAGAATACCATAGCATGTGGAGGACCAGACAGGATCAGGACAGTGCCCCAGATGTGCAACTACCAGGTGGGGAAGGATTACTGACTTCAAGAATTGATAAGACTCAATTTTAACTCTTGTGTGGGAACGCAGCAAAAAAAACAGGATACCCTTCTGGCTGGCAACAGAGAGACTTACCTGATTTAATATGCTTAACTGACACCCCACCTGGCTGTTAAAATCTAAGTGAGAGCTGCAGTCGTTAAAATTATAGAATCCCTACCATGTGAGAGCCGACCATTTGGCCCATTGAATCCACACACACACCCCCTCCCAAAGAACATCACACTCAGATCCACCCTCCTATCCCATCCCTGTAACCCTGCATTTCCCATGGCCAATCCACCTAGCCTGAACATCCCTGAACACTAAAGGCAATTTAGCCCATAGTGCTCCTATAATGGTTCAACTATGGTTGAAGTAGCTTATCACCACCTTCTCAAGGGTAATTACGGACAACTATGTTTTAGTTTACCTTTCATAGAGCCTGCTACAAGGTAGTTGCAGGACCGGAGTGGGGGGAGTGTGTGTGCTGAATCGTACTAGGTGACTAGCTCATTAAATATTCCCCCATCCCTGCAGCCATGATTGCCAGAGAATAATCTCAGGAGCTACAGGCCATCTGGTGGGTCTTTTCACAATGATAACCTGGCAACTGTGGACTGTTAAACTTTCTAAGGTCTTCAGAAGACACTTCCATCTTAAGATACCCTCTCGTTTTTCAGGCCTCCTACCTCTCCTGGTACCCAAAGCCTCAGGCATGCTGATTGGTTGCCCAGCTCTAGAGAACTCTAACCCTAACCTGTCCTTCGTAATTAGATGGTGCTGATGGAGACAGTTTCTTAATTGTCTGCCTCTTTCAGGATCACCCTAGGGGTTGTGTTACTGGCATTTCCAAGTAGCTGACCCCCATCTTTATCCTGACACGAAGACTGTGAGGTAGGGACAAAAGATCCTCCCCAATAACTATGCAACAGATTAAATAAAAGGAACATCCCAAAATTGATTCCAGTCTCTGCAACATCTGATACACTTGTCTAAGCTTCGTACATTAATTTTGTTCATTTCAATTCCCCTTCTACGTATTTCATAAGTCTGATTAGACATTGCCTTTATATGCTGAACCTGAAGTGAGGGGCATTTTAGAATAAAATTGTCTCAACTGGCCCTTTAACAAGCTCAAACATGGTGACCTATGACGTTCCGTTATAAGAACATAAGAAATAGGAGTAAGAGTAGGCCAGTTAGCCTGATGAGCTGCTCTGCCACTCAACATGACCATGGGCTATAACTCCATTTTATCACCTGCTCCCTGGATCCCTTATTTCTCTGGGAGACAACAAATCTTAATATTAAGTGTATTCAATTATGAAGTACCCACAATGCTCTGGGGTAGAGAATTCCAAAGATTCACAACTCATTGAGAGAAGAATTTTCTCCACATCTCAGTCCAAAATGATCAACCCCTTATCCTGAGACTGTGTGTCCATGTTTGAGATTCTCCAGATAGTGGAATCAACTTTGTAGCATCTACACTTTGCAGAATGTTATATATTTCAAAGAGATCACTTCACATTCTAAACTCTGGAGAATATAGGCCCAGCTGGACAAGTGATCAAGGTTCAATTAGTTTTAAAAGCATAAACCTTCCATAAAAATTAAAGTTCTTAATTGGTGTAAGGCAAATATTAATGGTATGAGACAAGAACTTACAAAAGTCAATTGGAGTAGATTGTTCACAGGTAAAGGGGACAACTGACAAGTGGGAGGCTTTCAAAAGTTTGATAACAAGAGTTCAGAAGTATTATGTTCCTGTTAGAGTGAAAGGTAAGGCTGATATTAATAGACAAGAAAGATGTTGAGGTTCTAGCCAAGAATAAGAAAGAATCATATAATAGATATAGACAACTGGATCAAATGAATCTCTTGGAGACTATCAAGACTGTAGAGACATTCTTGAAAGGGAAGTCAGGAAGGCAAAGAGGGGATATGAAATAGCCTTGATGGATAAGATTAATCCAAAGATATTCTACATGTACATTAAGAGCAAAAGAGCAACTGGAGAGCGAGTACAGCCCATTAAAGATCAACAACGTTGCCTATGTGTTGAACCGCAGGTGACGGGAGGGATACTAAATGAATATTTAGCATCAGTTTTTACTGTGGGAAAAGAAATGGAGGCTAGAGAGCTCGGGGAAATAAATATTGATGTTTTGAAAACAGTTCACATTATAGAGGACAAAGTGCTAGATGTCTTAGAAAACATAAAGGTGGATAAATCTCCGGGACCTGATCAAGTATATCCCAGAACGTGTTGGGGAAGTTAGGGAAGAAATTGTGAGGCCCATAGCAGAAAAAAATCTACCATCGATAACCACTGGTGAGGTGTTGGAGATGTGCAAGTTGGCTATATTCTGCCTTTATTTAATACAAATCGGGAAGGAGAAGCCTGGGAACTATAGACTGTGAGCTCAACATTGGTGATGGTTATGTTGTTGGAGGTGATTCTGAAAGATAGGATTTACATGCATTTGGAGAGGCAATGGCTGATTAGAGATAGTCAGCATGGTTTTGTGCGATGGAAATCGTGTATCATCAACTTGATTGAGTTGTTTGAAGCAGTATCCAAAAAGATTGATGAGGGCAGAATGGTAGACGTTGTGTACGTGGACTTTAGTAAAGCCTTTGACAATGGTCCACATGGTACACTAAGTAGTAAAGTTAGATCACATGAGATTCAGGATGACTTGCCAACTGGATACAAAATTGGTTTGATGGTAGGAGACAGAGGGTGGTGGAGGAAGGTTGTTTTTCGGACCCGAGTCCTGTGACTGGAGTCCTGTGACCAGTGGTGTTCCACAGGGATCAGTACAGGTATTTATATACATTTATATGACTGAAATGGATGAGAATATAGGAGGCACTGTTAGGAAGTTTTTGCAAGACATCAAAAGTGGTGGCATAGTGGATAGTGAAGGTTGTCTAAGATTATAAAGAGATCTTGATCAATTGGTTCAATGGGGTGAGAAATGGCAGATTAAGTTTAATTTGGATAAATGTGAGGTATTGCATTTTGGTAAAATAAACAAGGGTAGGACTTATACAATTAATGGTAGAGCCCTGGGTGGTGATGTAGAACAGACAGACCTAGGGGTTAAGGTACATAATTCTTTGAAATTTGCATCACAGGTAGACAGGGTGTTTAAGAAGGCATTGAGCACACTTGCCCTCATTGCTCAGACCTTTAAGTAAAGAATTTGAGATGTCACGTTGAGGTCGTACACGATGTTGGTGAGGCTTACTTGGAGTACTTTGTGCAGTTCTGGTCTCCCTATTATAGGAAGGATATTATTAAATTGGATAGGATTCAGAAAAGGTTAATCAGGATGTGGCGGGAATGGAGGGTTTGAGTTATAAAAATAATCTGGATAGGCTGAGACTTTTTCCACTGTTGTGTAGGAGGTTTAGGAGTGACTTTATAGAGGTTTATAAATCATGAGGGGGACAGATAAGGTGAATAGAAGGGGTCTTTTCCCTAGGATGGGGGTGTTCAAAACCAGAGGGCATATTTTTAAGGAGAGAGGAGAAAGTTTTTAGAAAGGACATGAGGGGCAACTTTTTTTATACAGCGAGTGGTTCATGTATGGAACAAACTGCCAGAAAAAGTGGTGGATGTAGGTACAGTTACAGCATTTAAAAGAACTTTGGGTAAGTACATGAATAGGAAAGGTTTGAAGGAACTTGGGCCAAACACAAGCAAGTGGGACTAGTTTAGTTTGGGAACATGATCGGCGTGGACTTGTGGACCAAAGGGTCTGTTTCCATGCTGTATGACTACAGGCAGGAAAAAGAGAAGGGAAGAATATTGGATGAGAAATGAACAGTGGAATTGGGACACATTAGAATTTGTTTCATCTAAACATAAGTACCCATTGGATAAATTAAAGTACAATGAGTTTACATTCAGAAATGTGAGGGAGGGAATAATTAGTTACCATTATTGAGGAGTAGTATTTGAGAGCAAGAGTACAAAGAAAGCTCAAGGAGAAGAAAAGACTATTTAATTCAAATGAATTGATCTCTGTAGTATTCCAATTAATACAAGTGGCACCCAACAGTACCAAGGTACTCCCCCAATATCATTAACTTCACTAAACTATGTGGAAGATCATTCCAAACGTTTACCACTCCCTATCATAGAAGTTTATTTGTCCCATTACTGTAACTTTGTGGTTAATAATTATCTGTTGTAGGAACTGTGGAGGCAGTACATGGTACCTCCAGTACCTCAGTGTCATCAATTACAACAAGTATAAAGCTGGAGAGGCAGTGACTCAGTCCAAAAATGCGGAGAGTACTTGTTTTAATTGGTAAGTTTGATTTTAAAGAAAATAGCAAGAAAAATCAAAGCTCTATTTTCAATTTTTCAACAGTATATAAGATTAAATTATTGCTGCAATGTGTGTGAGAAAGATTTTCTGTAAACAATGGGCAGAAAATACTAAAATGTTAACCTTTGGCTTACTTGCTAAACTGTGTGCTAGATATACTTTATCTTATTGTGTAGAAAAAACTACTTGCAATAGCTTGTTTTTAAAGTAAAACTGTGAATCCCAAATGCTATGAAACATGAGAATTATGTCTCCATACAGGCTGCACCCTGATGTTTGATTGCCATTTTTCTGTGAAGCCAGATTAGTTGTAGTGGTAGTGAAATCATATTAAAAAGCTACTTAAAAGGTATGGAAGTGTGCAGTGCAAATTTCATTTAATTTAGATTGATTCTCTGACTGATAGGGACAATGTACAGGAACGTGAACTGAGGGGATACCAGATATAACTCTCAAAGCCCTACTCAGTTCCTGTCTTGAGCTCCTCTGTTAGGATGAGCAGAGCAGAAGTCAGGCAAACAAACAGGAACAGTTGAACAGATGGCTTAGTGACTGACTAAATGGCACCAGTATTGGCTGTCTTGGAATAGGCACCCAATGCAAACTTTCTGATGGCTGGCAATTGTATACCATACAGCAAGCTTGAACAGGGAGAAAACAGCCTGCTCCTATTTGGAGAGGGATGACTACATTCTTTATCAAATACATAGCAATTAGTTGTATAGATATATTATATTTCATTCATCGGCTTGTTTCTAATTAATCCTATTATGACATGTTACAACTTTGAACAAACCTTTCATAATTTCAAAGTTGATCTACCAGTGCTACTGGCAGGAGTTTTATTTTTGGGGGAGGAGGAATGGTTTATATGTAAACTTGATAGATCAAGTAAAACTGTTTCTAAATCTGGTAGTGTAGTGGTCATGTTACTGAGCTAGATATCTTTACTAGTAATCCATGGCATGTGTTCAATTGGTAGTTTATGAATTTGAGTTCCTACAAATGAATGCTGAAGATTAATGTTGGTATGAGTTTTTTTTAAGAGACTGTGAATCTATCATATGATAAAAACCCAACTGGTTCATGAATGTCCACAAGGAGAGAAAACCTGTTATCCTAGCACTATCCTTCCACTATCCAGTCTAGTCTCTTTTTGACTACACACCTGCAGAGTTAACCCTTAACTACCTTCCGAAGTGGCCTGGCAGCTCAGTCAGTCGTTTCGAACCTTTCAGGATCACCAAGGCTGGGCAACAAGTGTTGGTTTTGCCAGCAAAAGGCATATCTCAAGAATGAACAAGGAGCTACATTTCAAATCTGAATCTTACAATAAAGCTCAAAACTAAACATTTAATTAATCTAAGATATCGCTGCAGCAAACGCAGGAAACATTTTTTTCCATCAAAACTTTGAAATTAGAAGGACAAGTTATACACCACTAATCCATCAATGATATCACTGTTATTCACTGTAATGACTGGGTGCACACTCACAAGCACAGGTTCACATCCGTTGTATTACAGAAGTACTTAGTTCTAGCAGAACATGTATATGAGAATGCCCAGTCTCAGAAATGTTCGTTTGAAAGAAGGCATGGCCCAAGATAAGGAAAAAGATTTCATGGAAAGAGGGGTGTCTTATATATTCAAGAACACTTCCCCTGTCTACACTATTCCATTGTGCATTAGAGAATATTTCACCTCATTGTTGATAGTTGAGCATTTTGAAATATGTGGCACTCATGAAAAAAATCCTAAATCCAGTGTTTTTTTTAAAAACAAACTTCATGCTTGTTTTCTTTTTCTCTAGTGGGACTCATCCTGTTGTCCCAGCTACAAGTTGGTAAGTCACATTATTATTGCCAAATGAAAGTATTTCTACCCATTGCCTTTTGATTGTGGTCTATTTTCCCAAAGGTTCGATTTAAGTTTGAAATCCATGTAACAATCACTTTGAAGCAAAACCGGAACCAAACTTCATACATACACTTTTTCTTTTCTGAAAAAGCTAATAAAGTTGAACAAGGTCAGTAGTTTGATTATTTCACTTTCTGCTTTTAGGCATTGCTTTCAAACTGGTTTGCTACTTTGCTAACTGGGCCCAGCACAGACGGGGAATTGGCCGGTTTATGCCAGAAAACATTCCTCCGTGCCTGTGCACCCATCTGATCTATGCATTTGCTACCATCGATAGTAATCACAAGATTACTACAAAGGAACAGAATGATGAAAAACTTTACACGTCATTCAACAACCTCAAAAAACAGTGAGTACACATGTATTTCACAGCTGTTCTTTGTCAGATTAAGGTCTTTTCCATCTGGTTCCAGAAACATCTGTTCTGCCTCCACCACACCCCGTCTCAGCACCTTACGCCACCTAAAGACATGATGTTGGCATCACCCAAAGGCCTCCATGGTGCCAGCTCAACATGATTCCATATAGTGGTTTGCCATTCGATCGTTGAGTTGTATCACAGTGAAACCTCAAACTATTCCTACCTGTAATGGCTACACCCATAAATTTTTCAACACAGTTATAAACAACACTTTCATTGCAAAGGATTTGAAAACAGGAGCAAGGATGACTTCCTGGAGCTATACGTGGCCTTGGTCAGACCAAACTAGAGCATCATGTGCACTTTTGATCTCTTGACCTAAGAAAGGATATCTTGCCACATAGAAAGAGTCTGCAGATTAATATCTGAAATGGTCAGATTGTCATGTGATGAGACATTGAGTCAACCAAGCCTGTATTCACAGGAGTTTAGAAAATGGAGAGGACATCTCATTGAAACATATGAAATTCTGACAGGGCTGAACAGACTGCAAGTAGGAATGATGTCTCCCCTATATGGGGGACACAGGGAAATGTCTTGAACAAGGGATATGGGGTCAGTCAGTCGAGGAGAATTTTATTCACTCATATGGTAATGAGCCTTTGGAATTGTCCAGTACATTAGGCTACAGAGTTAGTGAATGCATTTAAGAAAAAAAATATATAAATTTCTAGATACTAAAAATGTCAAAGCATTTAGGGAAAAGCAGAAGGTTGACATTGAGATAGAGGATCAGCCATGATCATATTGAACAGCAGAACAATCTCAATGGACAGAATGACCTACTCTTGCTCCTGTTTTCTGTGTTTCTCTGAAGGTATCAATCTTATCTCAGAGTGATAAACTTCCAGATTCAATCCAACTCCAAGGCTTGGAACATAAATATAATCAAAGCCAATAGCAACAGTATTTCTGAAGGAGTGCTGCTACATTGTCAGAGGTGCTGATTTCAGTTGAGATGGTAAACTGAAGCCTGTACAGATGGACGTAAGAGATCAGGTCCTTCCCTGTGTTCTGGTCGATATTTGGCCCCCAATCAACATTTTAACCATTGATGCCATTGCTGTCTGTGGGAATTTTCTCTGCATGTTTTTTTTTTCTATATTACTACAGTGATGACAATTCAAATAGTATTTCATGGGTTATGGAAAGCTTACAAATATTGAGTGGTAATAGAAAATTCAATATAAATACAATATTTTTAATCCATGCTAGAAGAGGAAGAAGTCAATGAGATTGCTTAAATCGCCATCCCACCTAAGATCACGTAACAGAGAACAGAACAGCAATTATCCTCCAGGAGTGTAGCTTTCCTCAAACAAGTTAAACATTCTTCATTAAAACCCACTTTTAGATTAATTTTTGTCAACATTCCTTCAAGTCATGGCTAAACATATAAGTGCCAACAATCCTTGCACTGCCATTAAGTTCCTTCAATGCTGTTAGAAAGGAAAGATATGTATTTCTACAGAAAATTTCATGTCCACTGAATATCCCAAAGCGTTTTACAGCTTTTTAACAAAGCAAATGCAACAGTCAAATTACGCACTGCAAGTTTGACAAAAAAGTAAAGTTACCATAGTCCTACAAGACCATAGGGCTGCTCTCTCTTTGGAAGGAGAGAGATAACTGATGGTGATTTAACCTGAGGATTACCGCACCTCAGGGAAGGGGAGAGGTTGAGTAGGAGCATTCTTCATGGTAACTTCAATTATCACAGACCAGCTGCCCAGCTAACTGAGCTAAGCTCCACTGACAGTAAAGAAATAGATAACTAAATATGGTGTTTAATCAGGTGGTAATTCTCAGATCAGTGTTAGCCAAAGCAGGAGAACTTCCTCCAATGATGTAAAATCAAGAACTGCGGGTGCTGGAAATCTGAAACAAAAACCGAAATTGCTGGTGTGTCTGTGGAGGGAGAAACAGGTGTCAATGATTTGGGTCCAGTGACCTTTCAACAGAACCCCTTGTTCTTTTTTGAGTAGTAAGTGAGTTACTTTATGTCAACCATCAAAAGGCGTTGGCAGATTCTGGGATCATAATCTCCAGAACCAGATTTTAAATTTCCATTTTCTAACTCAGACCTGTGGGCCTTCATGCTGATCCCCACCTCACACTGATACAGCTCTTACCATTGGTGGTGGATCACAGTATGGACTCTTTCCACAGGGTACATCATTCTGGCCTCACTTCAGTTCCAACATTTCTAAGGCAGTCACTGGCCTCAGACTCAATGAAGGAGAGCTTTCTGGGAGTGACCTCACTGCCTATACTGGCACTGTGCTTTATCCTGTACCTCCATTTCCCTAGATCCATTGATATTATTCCTTTACAATTACTTATCACATTCCTTTTAAATAATTTTGTAGATGCCACCTTAATAGTCACTTCTGGTGAGGCTTCTAATAGCCATCAATTAACTTTCTCTTTATTTACCTTGGTTCTTCCAGCTTAAGTCTCAGTCTGAGTGGTGGCTCAGTGGTTAGCACTGCTGCCTCACAGTAACAGGGACCCAGGTTCAATCCCAGCCTTGGGATGACTGTCTGCGTGGAGTTTGCATATTCTCCCCATGTCTGTATAGGTTTCCTCCTACAGTCCAAAGATGTGCAGGTTAGGTGGATTGTCCAGTGATGTGGATTAGCCATGGGGAAGTGCAGATTTACAAGGATGGGGAGTGGTTTTGGTGTGGACTTGTTTGGCCAAATGGCCTGTTTCCACTCTGTAGGAATTCTATGATTCTCTGTTCCATTATTTTTTATTATGTTTGCCCAGAATAATTGCATGAGTTTCACTCACTCATTTACTGGCTGTCCATCTGCTAATAGTAGCCCACTCACCACGCTGTTTGTGCCACTCCCGGTCCTTGTGGAAGTTCTGGTTCCTCACAGCCCCTAACATCCCATTTTTCCAGTTGGCTCAACCTCAGGTTTCATTTTCTTCCCGATTTTCCCCATTCCTGTCTCCATCCCTTTCTTGATATCTAACCTAACCGCCAACCTTCAGACCTTGCACGCTACCCTTCCCCAAACCCTACCCTCACCAACCACCAAACCGTGCTTTTCAATATCATTTCACAGGCTATTGCCCACCACAACTCATTCCCCCATTCCAGGTTGTTCATTGGAAACATCAGGAGATTAAGCCAGACCGTTTGCAACCTTAGTTTCATACTTGATCCCAAGCTGAACTTCCAACTTCATATTCCTGCCATCATTATGACATCCCAGTACTAAGTCAATAACATCTCCAGACACCACTGCAGCCTCAGCAGATCTGGCGCTGAAACGTCCATCCATGCCTTTCTACCTCCACATATAACAATATCAGAGCACTCTTGGTTGGTCTTTACAAGAGCATACTACTCCTGTAAACAGAAGGTCATCCAGGGCTGTTTTCACCTTGTCTTAATTTGCAGCCAAATCCCCTTCCACAGTCATTTCTGTGCTTTCTGACCTACAAAGGTTCGCAGTCAAGCAATGTCCTGATTTAAGAATTCTCATCACTCAAATTTCAAATCACTCTTGCCTCATTCTCTCCGATTTCTGTAATCTCATACTGCCTCAGAGCTTTTTATACTGCTCCAGTTGTGGCCTCTTGTACATCCTTAATTTTAATTGCTCTACCTCTGGGATGCTCTCACTTTGGCTCTGAGCTCACTTTATTCCTTTAAAACCTACCTCTTTGAACAAAATTTTGGTCATCTGACCTAACATCTTTTTATGGCTCAAATACTTTGTTTTGTGGTATTCCTATCAAGCATCTTGTGACTTTGAGGCACAAGACTCTTGAGCCATCCATCCATTCTCTGGAATTTCCTTTCTAAATTTATCTCACTTTCAATTTTTCTCTCACCCTCTAGACCATCTGAAAACCTCTTTCTTTTATGCTTTGGATCACTTTTCACAATGCTCCGAGTGTTGCCCGATATTTGTTTTTACTTTTGTGGAGTGCCTTTTAACATGTCACTTGACTAAAAGTGCTAGATAATTAAATGCATATAGTATAATAGATATAGGGATAATCTTGTGTATTTTTGGCAAGTTATTTTTGCAAGTTACATGAAGTTCTTTGAAGACCTTAGCAAATTTTCTCACTATATCTTACCAAACTTACCTGATTACCTACCTACCCCACCTCTAGGGCATTACTCACATCCCACTCCAGCCCTGTCTTCGTACACACCATTCAGGAACAACACACTACTGCCAGAAAATGCCAGAATTAACTGGCATCCCCTGCACCTATGTCATCTCTAAAAGTCCATTATGCACACAGACAAACACGGTCAGTCTGGAGCTGCCCTGTACACTTCTTAATATTTGTCCTGGATATGGCAGACAGGGGGAAATCAGTGCCCTGTTTTGTAGATAGGGACTTTGAGATCCTCCTGGATGAGGTGGTACAGAGGAGGGACTTGATCTTCCTCAGGGCAGGTAGTGAAGGTCACAATCCTAAACCTTGCCAACCTAGTCTGAGGTTAGCTCTTGGGTTAGAGAAGCCTCAGCTGCCTGGAGGAAAGCCCAGCACTATGGGAAGAAGATCAATGTCCTTCTCCATTCCACCTTCATAAGTTCCACTGTCTTCTCTCTATCCCTCACACTCATTCGATCTCTGCTGCTATACACAAGTGATGGAAAGTTGATGCTCTACCACTCTCACTATTCTCCCACTCACCATCCCCTACACCAACCCCTGACACCACTAGCTCTGCATGCCCACTGCGCTCCCTACTCACTTGTTCAGCACACACCTCCCCTGATATAAAAGTAGCAGCTGTACCACCACCAAATTTCATCTCCCTTAACACCTACCTCTGTCTCATTCCAGGATGAAAACAGCTCCCAGTGGGACAGAAAGAGTCAAGACAGGTGGTGAGCTTCCTGACATTTATCTCTTCATCCCTTACGTGAACAGCATCCAGACTGTGA